TCATCTCAAATGATAAGAATGAACCTTTATGTCCATGACTTATCTTTCTCATTTCTTTGCATGTTTAATAATACCCTTTGTCTTCTCTTTTGGAGTAAGCCACCTTTTGTTAGCTCTCTTGGGCCACTTCATTTAGCACTTAAATCTCTCAGAAATCATTGTTTTCATAATTCACAGCTCTCACATTTCAATATATGCCTATGTCAAGCATTTGTGTTGTAAGACTTACTGGTGATTTAGACATTGTCATGTTGAGCATTTTATTCATAAAGCCTTATTTTTTTAAGACTAAAGAGTTAGAATTTGGGGCAAAGAGCATTTAAAACACAACATTATATGTGCATCTATTCACACATACAGTCAAGCATCCAGGCACTCACACGGAGAAACAGGCTCACTTTCAGTTCCTTGTTTTTCTCTATTTGACCACCTATGTATGGATCCTGAATATTACAGTTTTGTGTCTGGCTTGTTTTTGAACGATATGTACATGGAATTGTACTATCTGTTCCTTTATATTTTTTGCTTCTTTATATATTTTGCTTCTTTATATTCTTTGCTTCTTCCATTAAATATGCTTGCACGAGCCATTCTTACATTCATTCACAGTTGCTTGTAGCTAAATATTATTCATTTTCATGGCTGACTTGCAATCAAGACGTGGACAGACTGAAGTTTATACAATCTATGGACAAGCAAAAGAAAGAAAGAATAAAAGGGAGAGAAAAATGAGAACAAGGACAAAGTGAATGAGACAAAGAGGCGTTAGACAAAGCCCAGCACTGATACTTTGAATAGTTTAGTGACCAGACAACCGTGGGAAAGACTGAGATGTTGGCAAATGTTAAGATTAAAAGGGAAAATACTTGTTAGCAGGAGAACAGAGAAACAATTTGTGGAATATCCATAGAAGGAAGTATGATACAGCAATGAAAAATAAGGAACCCATTTACACAGAAACATGGATAAATACTAGAATTGTTATGCAAAATGAAAAAACAAAATTCCAAACACTGTAGAGTGTGGTACCATTTTCATGAAGTTCAAAAATAAGCAAAATGAAATAATATATTGGGATGAAACTATCAATCAAAAAATAACAAAGCTTAGGAAACAGGGTCACTTCATGAGAAGGCCGTGGGTTAGGGTACAACCTGTAAGTAGACGTAATGGTTTCGGATAAATTCCTTAATCTGAGTTTACCCCCAGATGCAGGCCGCAGGTTTAGAGTTGACATGAAGTTAACCTGTTTGGGGAGGTGATCCCAAGATGCACGAGCAAAGAAGAGGAAATGGGAAAGAGCAAAAAGACAACACAAAAATGTCTTGGGGAGCTGGCCCCTATGCAGACATCCAGGACCCCATTTCTGGGGACTGTCTGAGGAGCACATAGAATGCTTCCAGAATTGTCAGCCTCAAGGAGGAGAAAGCCTCAAGGACTCATATGTTGAGTCCTAATCCCACTGGCCAAGAAGCATTGCTCCCAGGGTGATGGGTTCGTTCCTGCTTTCAGATTGCACATTCCAGTACATTCTAGGACAGACCATTGTTTTAAGTCACAGGACATGAGTAAGAGGCATGCAGTCCAGCTGTGCTATCAGGTTACACCTGCACCACGCTTGTTGAAGAGAAGTAGCCTGGAGTGTGCCAGGTGGGGAGAAGGTGAGGGACAAGAGAGTGTCCAGGCAGACCCACTGATGCTGCCATGAGTTCCAGCCTGTCACAAGGCCATGAGATCATTCATAGCTTGCCTTCAACTGACTTAATATTTTGGTAGAATAAGCTACAATCTTCTGCTGCATCTACTTCTGGGGCCAGAGTTGCTACCCACCATTCCCCTCCTTCAATAGCACCCCATATCTCCTTCATCCTGCATCTGTTCTTTAGGGGGCCTAATCTAGAGCCTCAGCTTTATCTTGTTGAGGTCAGGTCTCAGTAATCACGCTGGCCAATATCCTAACTCCTTCCACTGACACCTGATTCACTCGCACTGGGAGCCCCAAAATGTCAGGTGGCTGTCATAATGTCAAGGCTAATGGAACTCCCTCTGTGTTGGGCTCCTATAACTATCGCTCCCACCCATGTCTCTAAATCTGGAGGCTAAGGTTTGGGGATGGGAGACACAAACTCTATCAGTGGGATGATGGACGTGATGGCGGGGAGACCAACTCACGCTTGAGGTCCTCCACTGGGTACTCTCGTTGCTACAGGCCAGCACTGCACTGTCTGCTGTTTGACCTGCTGGAGAGGGATGCAGGGAGCCTTGAC